CTGGGTCAGCTCTCAAACTCCATCTTAACATGATTTTTATCAACTCTCTAATAAAACAACACAGCATCTTTCCAGCAGAACGACCTGTTATGAAGCATCTGATATAATCTCCATCTCACTTTGATGCCCATCCGAGACGTTTGCATGGATCGGACCGGTTTCAACCAAAGAATGTGGTTCTGGGTCAGAAAACCGGCTCCACATTAAAACCAGTAGTTTTAAACATAAAATACAAATATTTTTGCTCATCGTATTTTTAAATAATGTTTATTATGCATTTTCAGTCCATGCATTTCCAGGGAATGCTCATCTGATTATATCTTGCATGCTCAAAACCTGGATTTAAACTCCTAAATCAAGACTGTGATGTGATGTGCATGTGTGTTTGGTTATGAAAGTCAGTCAGGCTGTTTCTGAGAGAGTTTCGGTGCAAACGACCATCTTTAATGATCCTCAGAGACAGACTCTCTTCGCCTGCGGCTCCGTCAGAGTCTCAGACGAGTCTACAGATCGTTTCTCCGCCGCCTGCGAAGCTTCTCCTCCGTTCCTCTCCTCCCACAAGCTGTTCTCCGGAGGCTGGTAACCCGGTTCCAGTGGGTCCAGCGGGTCTTTGGAGAGCAGGATGCTGATGGAGGGAAGCGTCCGGTGGACGGTCACCTCCGAATCGCCTCCTTCTTGGCTCTCCCAGACCTCTCGCAGACCCTTGTACTGCAGTTTGGTCATCTGATGGAGGCCGCCGAGCTTTCTTTTCATGATCTCGGCGCACGTGATGGTTTTGGTCACGGCCCGTCCGGACCCGGTGAACACGACCTGTCTCAGTCCGGTTTGACCGGCGTTCCGGGCGTCGTTCTGCATGCGTGCCATGGCGAAACCCATGAGATTGCGAATCTTGCTGCCCTCCTTCACCCTCATTTCCAGCACATCTGCCGGCAGGCTAGGGAACGGACACGTGCTTTCCTCTTCGATCCGACACACTTTCTTAAACCCGCCTGCGTGAGTCTGTTTAAGCAAAGGCGACGAGGCGGAGACGTTTGCAGTCTGACCCGGAACGGACAGACGGGCGTCTGGATCGATGCTGAGCTCCATGGTAGTGATTTTAAATCATCTTAAACGCTCAAATTGCATTCAATTCCCCCAAAATCATCTGTGATTAGTGTCCTGCGAGTGAAACACTCTTTAACCAGAAGAACACGGAAATGTAACTCGTGACTTGGATTTATAAACAGATAAAATGAACTGAAAAAGTCTTGCTTGACATGCATGTGAATTAACCTCGTGTCCTTTTACAAGCAGCATCCAATCGGCCTGGTAAACTGAACTTCTGGAAATTAAGTGGCAATTCCTCCGAGGTGTTTTGGGCACACTTACTTCTGCGGGACGATCCAGCTCTTGTCTTGGGTTCCTCTGTTCTCTCCTGTTGTCCTTTGCACTTTGCGGATGTAGCCTTTGGAGTGCATCTTCCTCTCTTTCGCTGTCCTTTTCTGTTTCTCGTCTTCATTCACGTGCCGGCAGAGCTGCTCTCTCTCACACACACACACACACACAAACACAATTTAAATCTATTTTCTATTAAATCTACATTTATTTCTATTCTTGTGCATGTTATTTCTCTCTCTCTCTCTCTCTCTATATATATATGCTTTTAATATATTAATATTTTAATCTAAAAGTCCCATTATTTTTAAATAAATTGTTGGAAACTTGTCAATTGTAAATACTTAACAAAGAGTGAAAAATTTAAGGGGGTCTGAATACTTTCCGTACCCACTGTATATACTGTATAGACTTTTAATATTATTATATAATTTTTTTCAATTATAACATGCACATCAATTTGTTTAAACTTGTTCCAGCATGATCTCATACTATATATATATATATATATATATATATATATATATATACATACATACACATTAATCATGCTATATTGAAAGTCCCACCATCTTTTAATATAAAATGATACCCATGATAAACTCTGCAGATGGTCCTGTAGCTTTAAAAACTAAGCCAGCAGCTCTAAAGCAACTTTGCTGATCCGTTTAAAGGACGTCCGGTGCGGGAGCTGGAGGAACACTGACAATTAAAGCACAGTTCTGGAACACGGAGCCACTCGGGCTCAGAAAGACGCATTTCCAGCAGGTGAATGAAGGTGTGAATGAAATTAGCTGGAATCTAATTGAAAACAGCCTTCACAGGGCAGATGAAAGTCAGACTGCTAAATGTGCTGCGGTTGGCCTTTAGCCCTCGACATGCATTTGGCTCTTACCATCTGCATAATGTGATGTTAATGGTCTTTTTACAGGAGGAATTCTGGGACGGCCGTTCATAGACGTCTCTTCACTCGAGGATAAAATGTAAAATGGATTTTTATCACCTGCGCACACATGAGTTATTTGGCAACATCTATCCTTTTCTTCCCTTTTTATACCACCATTTAATCCGTATTTAATTAACCTATGATCTTAAATGAGCTTAACTTGATTTTTCACATCTGTGTTTTTCATTTTTCATTCTGGTGTAAAGCACTTTGAATCACTACTGTCCATGACATTCACATTCATAAATTTTGCAGGCGCTTTTATCCAAAGCGACTTGCATTCATTGTTATGAGTTAATGCATTCCCTGGGAATCGAACCCATGACCTTGCATGGTGTTGCTAGTGCTGTGATCAACTGTTTGAGTTACAGGAATGCGTGAAAACACTATGAAATATGCTTAATAAAACAAAGTTCTGATTGGATGAGCTTTATATAAACCCTGCAATAAGTTTTATAAATTTGTTTACATGTGCATTTATGTACTCCAAACTAAAAACTTCAGTGCATGCACAGTGAGCATAATTGTCATTTTCGACTTGATATAAATTAATAAAAAGGGTAATTTCAACTTTATTATCTTATAATTCTGACTTTTTCCTTGCTATTCTGAATTCACTATATCTCACAATTTGCAGATTTGTTTCTTCGATTCTGAGAATTTGCGAGGAAAAAAGTAAAAACATGTAAAATAAAAAGTGTTTTTTATTATTTTATTTTTTTTAATTCTATGGCAGAAACAAGCTTCCAAAAAAAATCATGCTTTTGTAATTAGAAATTTTGACTTTAAAAGTCGTAATTATGACATACTAAGTCATATGAGATTAAAAAAAGTCAAAATTATGACATAAGTCATAATTATGACTTTAAAATGACATACTACTTTATGACATACTAATTGACAATTTTATGGCATACCAAATGACATACTAATTTATGACAAAGTCGAAACTAATGAGATAAAAAGGCAAAAAAAACCCTCCTAATTTAGTTTTTTTTTTAAATATGACAATTATGATTTAGTGTGTCAATTTCGACTTTTAAATTCATAATTTTGACTTTTTATCTCATAATTATAACTATATATGTGTCAGACTTTGTTCCGTGTTTTGTGTGTGTCTTGCTCCCCATGTGCCTTCCATGCCCATATTTGGTCCTTCCCGTTCCTGTCCTTATCTGTTCCAGGTGTCCCCTTTTCAGTTCTATTGATCCCAGGTGTGTCTCGTCATCCCATCGTCATGTAATTTGTATACATAGTGTTCCTTGTTATCAGTTCGGCGTCTTTGAGGAGATTCCCCTCTTCTATGTAAAGCGCTTTGAGTGCCCAGAAAAGCGCTATATAAATGTAAGGAATTATTAATTATGATTCTCCCCGTGGTTCTTTTCCGTTTTTTTAAAAGTCTTTTTGTTTTTCCTGTTTCTCCCCGCGTTCATGGAAATCGCCGCACGTTTCTCAGCCCTATCCCGCAGAGATCTCTCCTTTGTCGAGTATGCCCGGGTTCGCCACAGCGACGCCTTGTTATCAGTTCAGCGTCTGGTATTGTTAATGTCTGTGAATGTCTTCCTTCCCGCTACATGTGATTTCCTGGTTCCCTTGATGTGATTAAAGTCTGTGTTTGGATTGAACTCCTGGTCTCCTCGTTCCTCGCTCCGTGCTCCTCCACAGTAGCGCACACGTGACAGAATACCGGACCAGAAACAAAAAAGTGAGCGGCGCCTCTTCTCGCAGCCATATCACCCTGCAGCCCAAGACTGGTTGCCCACTGAAGCTAAGCAGGGATGAGCCTGGTCAGTACCTGGATGGGAGACCTCCTGGGAAAACTAGGTTGCTGCTGGAAGAGGTGTTAGTGAGGCCAGCAGGGGGTGCTCACCCTGTGGTCTGTGTGGGTCCTAACGCCCCAGTATAGTGACGGGGACACTATACTGTAAAAAGCACCGTCCTTCGGATGAGACGTTAAACCGAGGTCCTAGGATGTCTTTTGAAAAGAGTAGAGGTGTGACCTCGGCATCCTGGCCAAATTTGCCCATTGGCCTCTGATCATCATGGCCTCCTAACAATCCCCATATCTGCTGATTGGCTTCATCACTCACCTCTCCACCAATAAGCTGGTGTGTGGTGGGCGTTCTGGCGCA